TTAGCATTACCTTCCCTGCAAGGAGATCTTTGCTTCCCTTCGGATAAGTTTGCCCCAGATGCCCCGTGCCCCAGAAGGATATTCATGCCACAAATGGCTACTCGTGCCATAAGAGTTAAACACGCCTAAGAGATATAATACCTTAATTGAGGACGATTATGTTCTCTCATGTCTGCATACAGAATGACCTTTCTATCTGCCCGGGTGGAACGTCTTCATCCCACGAGGCCGACGGGCTAAGGGACTCCTCCCCGTCGGCCGATCAGTGGTTATAGCTATTCTTATTATTATTATTGTTGTTGTTGTTATTATTATAATTATAGTCTTCTTCTTCTTATTGTTGCTGTTGTTGTTGTTGTTGTTGTTATTGTTGTTGTTGTTGTTATTATTATTATTATTATTATTATTATTATTACTATATTATTGTTATTATTATTATTACCTTTATTGTTAAACAATTATAAATAGATTTTACGAGCATCAGGTGTGGATGAGGGGTGGGGAGAGAGCAACAGAGACACCCTCCTACAGGAAGCGCCTGAGATGCTGGGCCTCAGCCAACGGCGGAGAGTCACGTTGATTTGCGTTTGTTTTTAATTCCTTGCCATTAGTAAGCCGTTGTTTAGATATCCGTGCCGTGAATAAGCGACCGGAACAGATGTAATAGTAATATTTGTTTAATTGTCTGATTTTTTTTTGGGGGGTGTTTCTTTTTGCTCTCTCTCTCTCTCTCTCTCTCTCTCTCTCTCTCTCTCTCTCTCTCTCTCTCTCTCTCTCTCTCTCTCTCTCTCTCTCTCTCTCTTTCTTTCTTTCCCAACCTTTTTACACCCACGACACACCTCTCAAACTTCTAACACACCTGCGACCCCTCGATATAAAGGAAAATATGAAATAATTTTTTTAAGCTTAATTTTGAAATGATATTCGTAGAAGACATAGCTCCATAGCATATTCTTAATATGACCACTGACAAAAGCCTGACATATTGGCCTATAATATTTTCACCAAAGGCGACCCACAGATTGAGAACCACTGCTCTAAGGAGATAGATAGATAGATAGATAAATTTATCGATAGATAGAGAGAAAAAGAGACAGACGGACGACGGACAGACAGACACACAGACAAACAAACAGACAGACGGACGGACGGACGGACGGACGGACGGACGGACGGACGGACGAACAGAGGCAGACAGACAGACAGACAGACAGACAAAGACTTAGACAAAGACAGAGATGTATGTTAAAACTTTTGTGTGAGTATGGTAATGTGTGGGTCATTTTTATGTGGGATCATGCCCTGCGAGCTCGCTGAATGTTATCCGAAGATCTAGCGATTCTGGCATGAGCGCGGAAACTGTATCTCGTCATGCCTCTCGAAGTTATTTGCTTTTTTCGGATACTGAGTTGTGGAAAAAAAGGCATATGCTCAGGTTGTTACTGTTGTTATGATCGCTATCATCTATAGTAATAGTTACTGCAGATATTCTATTATTTTTGTTGTAATTAATATTGTGATCATAAAAATAACTATTCTAGTAATGATGTTGTTATTGTTGTTGTTTTTATTTGTATGTTAATGATTAGTGTTATGATCATTAGTATTAGTATTTGTATCAATATTGGTAACATCAATACTATAATCTTTAGTGATATTACTTTTAGTGTAAAGAATCCACCTGCCAAGACCGTTAGAACTAATGTAAAAAATAATGTATTCAGAAAAGCCCGATTGGAGCCACCCAAGCCCAGCGAAGCAGTATAGGGGTTAAGTCGTCCAGACAGAATCACGCATAAAAGCGGATTCTTTTATCCTCTCAAAAGCAAGAGCGTGGATTCCATTGGCGGCTGCGGTCTGCTGCGTGGGCGTTCACAGTGCCATGCGTAGCGGGCGGGATCAATTCGACCGTGACCCGCGATCATGAGAGGGCGAGGGAGGTGGGAGGGAGGGAGAGAGGGAGGCGAGGAGGGAGGGAGGGAGAGAGGGAGGGGGAGAGAGGGAGGTGGGAGGGAGGGAGAGAGGGAGAGGGAGAGAGGGAGGTGGGAGGGAGGGAGAGAGGGAGGTGGGAGGGAGGGAGAGAGGGAGGCAAAAGGGAGGGAGGGAGAGAGAGGGCGAGACAGGGAGGGTGAGGGAGGTCAAGGGAGAAGAGAGGAGAGAAGGAGGAGGGTTGGGTGGGAGAGGGGAGGGTGAGGGAGTCAAGAAGGAAGGGAGGAGGGAGGGAAGGAGGGGGAAGGAGTGTGAGGTGGGAGAGGGAAAAAAGAGAAACAAGAGGTGGGAAGGGAGGCTGGGGGTGTGAGCGAGGGAGGGGCTTGGCTAAAGGGCGTAGCAAGAGGGAGGCGACATTTGGATAACGTTAGAGAAGGATGATTGGGAAATTTTATTTATGTCTGAAGAAATGTAAAGTAAAAGTAATACACACAGGCGCGCGCGAATTTGAGTGGACGTGTGTAATATATGAGTGTGCACATAATAGCACAGTGGAGGGCAAGTGATGGGT